CATTGTGTTCAGGGGTGCATAGACTAGGTGGGTTGTAAGGGGGTGGGTCTGGGTGGGATGCTGTGAGCGTCAGTGTGGACTTGTTGGGCCAAAGGGCCTGTTTCCACACTGTAGGGATTCTATGATTTTCAATGACTATCCCTCCATAATAAGGTCAGAAGTAGGATGTTCATCACTGATTGCACAATGCTCAGCACCATTCACAGCTCCTCAGTCCATGTTCGAATGCAACAAGTCCTGGTCATTATCCAGGCTTGGGATGGCAACTGTTCATGGAATTTATAGAATCCCTACACTGTGCAAACACCACCCCTCCAAAGAGCATCCCACCCAGACCCATTCCCCATGTCTAACCCACCTAAACTAAATATCCCTGGGCACTGTGGGCAATTTAGCAGAGCCAATCCACCTACTCTGCGCATCTTTGGTCTGTGGGAGGAAACTGGAGATGAAACCCACGCAGACAATGTGCAAACTCCATACAGACGGTCACCCAAGGCTGGAATCAAACCCAGGTCCCTGGCGCTGTGAGGCAGCAGTGCTAACCATTGAGCCACCTAAGTGGCAAGTAACATGTGCACCACCTAAATGTCAGGCAATCACCATTTCCACTAAGAAATGATAATCTCACACTATGAGCATCCTGGAGGTCACCACTGACCAGAAACTCAAGTGGACTTGCCATATAAATGCAGTGTCTATAAAAGCAGGTCAGAGACTAGAAATATTGCAGTAGGTAACTCATATCCTGACTCCCCAAAGCCTGTCCACCATCCAGAAGGCACAAGTCAGGAGTGTGATGGAACACTCCCTATTTGCCTCAATCGGTGCAGCTCCAACATCACTCTTGAAATGTTCCAGTTCAAAGCAGCCTGCTTGACTGGCACCACATCCACAAGCATCCACTTCCTCCACCATTAATGCTCAGTAGCAGCAGTGTGTACCACCTACAAGGTGTACTGCAGAAATTCATCAAAGATCCTTTGACAGCACTTTCCAAACAAATGATCACTTCCATCTAGAAGGACAAGGGCAGAAGATACATGGGTACACCACAACCTGCAAGTTCCTCTCCAAGTCACTCACCATCCTGATCTGGAAATATATCACTGTTCCTTCACTGTTGCTGGGTTAAAATCCTGGAATTCCTTGGCTTAGGGCTTTGTGGATCTACTCACAGGACATGAAATGCAGTAGTTCAAGAAGGCATTCACCACTACAATGGGCAATAAAAGCAGGCCAGCCAGCAAAACTTAAGTGCGAGAAATGAATTCAAAAAAACACTATCCTGTTCCTGTACAAACATTTCCAGGTGCAAAATGTTTTATAATAACATGAAAGGATGAAGGAAGTGGGAAATGACATCAATTGACTGCTGTACCTTGAAGAAACAAATTGATGTGTCTGAATAATGATGTAGATTTTGAACTACATGTTTCTAATATGCCTAACAGTGAGTCATCATGTCTTGAACAAAATCTGATAACAAACATAAATAGTTTACTTTCATGATGGTGATTTGGTGAGGTGTCAGAAGCACCTCACCAAAAGAAAAAAAACATTTTCAGCATTTCTAAAGCCAATTTTTATCATTGTCCCACAGGTGCAGTACATAATGCTCTCTTGGATTTCTCACATATTGTGGTGCTAATCCTATTCAGGTCAAGCAGTAATGTTCCAAACAGAAAAGAAGAATCACAAAATAATTGCCCAGTCTATGTGAATTGCTTTTGTGCCCTCCTAACACTTGCAACAAAATAACACCAGCACAAATCAAGGGAGACCACTTTTGGAATACTGTGCTCAATTCTCATTTCCCTGCTACAGGAAAGATGTTCTTAAACTTGAAAAGGTTCAGAAAAGAATTAAAAGTATGTTCCTGGGGTTGGTGGGGTTGAGCTATAGAGAGAGGCTGAATAGGGTGTGCCTTTTTTACCTGGAGCGTCGGAAGCTGGGAGGGGCCCTCGTAGAGGTTTATAAAATCATGACGGGCATGGAGAGGGTGAATAGACAAGGTCTTTTTCCCATGGCAGGGATGTCAAAACTAGAGGGCATAGTTTTAAGGGTACAGCAGAAAGACTTAGAAGGGACCTAAGGGGCAACATTTTCACACAGAGGGTGGTGCGTGTATGGAATGAGCTGCCAGAGGAATGGGTGGAGACACGTACAATTACAACATTTAAAAGGTATATGGATGGGTACATGAACAGGATGTGTTTAGAGGGATATGGGCCATGTGCTAGCAAATGGGACTAGATTAATATCCGCTATCTGGTTGGACTGGACAGGTTGGACCGAAGGATCTGTTTCCATGCTGTACTCTATAACTTTATGATTGTAACCAAAAATCTGCCTGACTGATAGATTGAGATATAATAGATTTAATTGAAGGAAGCATTAGGAATTTGAAGAATGCTTAATTAAAAACAATCAGGGAAAATTGAAAACTGGAATAATGTAAGCAAAGCTCTTTCTTAGAAGGTAAAACCTGAACGAGCATAAAACATACCACTTCCAACTTTTATTTTGATTAAATATACCATGAAATTATCCACCTGAATACAGGTCTAAATTTAAGCCTGCTAACGCTAAATTATTTTTAAATATAAAAATTAAACAAAATAATGGTGGTTGTAAAATGGGCTGTAAATTTGCTTTCACAAAATTTATATTATTGTACAGAAGCAAAATCTAACCCAAGGCGTTTAAAATAAGGTAATAACTGATTTAAAATAAATCACAAAACATTCCCAAATGAACATTTTAAGTGTTAACACTTCTGCCATATTGTCAACAGAACAACACATTATCGTCGAGAAATTAAGTAAATTCAGGATTATATAAATGTCAAAACTATAGCCAATATGCTAACCCACGAAAACATTATAATGTATCAGATACAATTTGCTGTCAATCTACTTTTTTTGTTATTCAATGCCACAAAAAAGACACTACGTATAGATCATTAAAACCCCACTGAAGCACATTTCCTGTCCGCAGGCCTCACTTTTTGTTCTACACTTTTTTGGTTATGTTTTTATGGTCACATTAACTATATTAAATTTCAACAGTCCATACAATTCTATTACGTCAACTGTCATAACAGATTATCAGGCTCCAACCACTAGATGGCTCTGTGGAATGACTTTCTGAAATCTCCCAATCTTAATGTCACTTTACATAATTACACCCATTACTTTGAGCGGTGCTGCAGCTGACTTACATGCTGACATTGACCATCAGACCATAAGATGTAGGAGCAGAAGTAGGCCATTCAACCCATTGAGTCTGCTACACCATTCATTGAGTTCATGGTTGATCTGATAATCCTCACTTCTACATTCTTGCCTCTTTTCTGTATACCTTGATTCCTTTACTGCTTTAAATTCTGCTTTTCTCAGTCTTGAACATTCTTAACAACCCAGTCTCAACAAACCTCTGCAGTACAGAATTTCATTGATTCACTACCCACTGAGAAAAGAAATTCTTCCTCATCTGTTTTAAACGTGTGACTCCTTATTCTGGGATTATGCCCTTTGTTCCTAGACTCTCCCATGCATCTACCCTGTCATGTCCCCTCCGAATCATCTATGTATCATTAACATTGCCTCGCATTCTTCTATATTTTAATGATTTATTTATAAAACTATTTATAAAACATACCTGGTGTCCGCTTTGTGAACCTTAAGGGGCCCAAAACTGTCTTCCAACAATGATCTTGTGTAGTTTTAGCAAAATCTCTCTATTTTTATACTCCTTTCCCTTTTCAATAAAGGCAAGTAATCCATTTGTCTTCCCTATTACCCACTGAATGTGGATGCTATTATTTTATGTTTCATGGACAAGGTCTTTCTCTAGTTAAATAATATTCAGCTCCTTAGTTCTTATTGCCAATGTGCATAACCTCACATGGATGCATTCAAGTTTTTGCACACTCACTTAATTTGTCTATTTCCCTCTGCAAACTCCTTATGTCATTGTCACCACTTGCCTTCCTACCTATTTTTCTTGTCATCTGCAAACCTGGATCCAAACATTCATTTTCTTCATCAAAGTCATTAATATATAATGTATATAATTGTGGCCTCAGCACTGATCCCTGTGGCACTCCATTAGCTACAGAATACCTTCCTAAAATTGCCCCCTTTACCTCAACTCTGACTTCTACTAGTTACGCAATCCTCCATCCATATGAATGCATGACCTCCAATTAGACCTCAGCCTAATGCAGCTCAAAACACAGTCTTCCAGAAGTCAGATCAGATAAGTTAACTTTAATAATTCAATCTCCTCCCACTGACACTTGGAAGTAGCAGAATAAAAACTTCTTTGTTTCCTTTACGGAACTCTTCTATGTTACTGAGTACAATGAGACACCAATGGAAATTGCTGGCACTAATCTATCCCATATTGTTACACCAGCCATAAGAAAATTACTGCTTAATAACTAAGTTTTCTTCACATTAAATGAAGGATTTAAGTGAAAATAGCTATACAAATGTTAAATAATGCAGCTTTGAAATGCTCTGACATGCTGGAGGTCTAATCTATTTACATTGTTCATCACGTTATGAAAATGCAAAGAAATAAAGACTAAGGAAAAACCCTTTCAGATTATTAATCCCCTGCATCCTCATCAAGAATTCAGTCCTGCATGCAATCATATCAAAATATCTTTTAAATTATATCTTTAACAGGTACAGATACATTTCTTCTACTTCAACAACAAAATCCCCTATCTATTACTTTTGGGGCAACATTATATTCAACAGGTCTATTCTGTATCAGTCAGGAACAAAACAGAAAAAAAAATCCTTTTAATTATGGACAGGAATGTGTCCTTTTCTTTGTTACCAGTACTTATTCATAAATGATGCATTTGTCAATTTTCCATCACCATAACGCTTAAAAAGTACTTGATGTGCACTCAAGCAGGAAAGAGTAATATCTACTTGTCTCATGTTACTATTATTCCAATGAGATAATAAAAAAATGATTACCTGGTATAAAGTTGTATCTTGCCAGAAATCCAATAGATTCGAGCTCACCATCAGCAACAAATTTAATCCATAAATATCTACCCGATGATGTTATAAAAGGTGGAATATTTTGACCACAGTAACGTCCAATCTCAGTAGAAAATCCAAAAGGTCCATCTCGCACCTCAATATGGTCAAATTTGCATTCCCAAGAAGGTTCAATGGAGTACTTTTCATCAAAGTAAAGTTCAATGCTTTGTCTTGGTGCAGCTAAATAATGAAGTTAAACAATCAGTTCCAAGATAATACATAAAATAAAAGTTGACATAATTATATTACAAATGTATAGTATATCAAAGGAAATGGGTGAGTTCAGATGATACAAGGAATGACATCCAGACCTAAAGCAGAGCATATCATCTCGAGGGAATTGTAAACTTTCAATCATAACAATTATTTATTTAAAATAATGCACACCAGCACCATATAAATTAATGCATTGTGCAAGAACAATCTATTACTTGATGTTTTTACATGTTTAATTAATTTGCATGTTTATCTCATGTTACATCAAACAGGTTATCTACTGTCAATATTAAATCCATAATATGGGTGAAATTTGGGAGATGTTATAATTTTAAGGCAGCATATATCAAGTATAAGGTACGATTGAATAAAAGAAACACATATTTAATACCTTTTCAGGCCAAAATAGTCTTGGATAAAAAGAGCTGCTTGCAATCATAGAACATAGAACAGAGGCCAGTACAGCACAGGAATGGGCCCCTCAGCACATGATGTTGTACTGAATATGATGCCAAATTAAACTAATCCCTTCTGTTTGCCCTTTGTCCATACCCTTCCATTCCTTGCATATTCATGTGCTTATCTAAAAGTCACTTAAATGGCCCTATCGTATCTGCCTCCTTCAATATCCCTGGCAGCACGTTCCACATTTCTACCACACTCAATGTTAAAAAAACTTGCCCCTCACATCTCCTTTGAACTTTACCCCTCTCACCTTAAATGCTCCCTAATTTTAGACATTTCATCTCTGGGAAAAAGATTTTGACCATCAATTCTATCCATGCATCTCATAATTTTATAGATTGCTATCAAGTCTCCCCTCAGCCTCCGCCGCTCCAGAGAAAAACAACCCGAGTTTTTCTAGCCTCTCCATATAGCTCATACCTTCTAATCCAGGCTGCAGCCTGGTAAACCTCTTCTGCATCTCTCCAGAGCCTCCACATCCTTCCTGTAATGTGGCAACCAGAACTGATACAATACTCTAAGTGTGGCCTAATCAAAGTTTTATAAAGCTGCAACATGACATCCTGACTCTTGTACCCCATTCCCTGACCAATAAAGGCAACCATGCCACATGCCTTCTTTACCACCTAAATTTATTTCAGCAGCCACTTTCAGGGAGCTATGGACTTGAACCCTAAGGTCCCTCTGTACATCAATGTTGTTCAGGGTTCTGTCATTAACTGTATCATTTTCCTTAAAATTTGATCTCCCAAAGTGCAGCACCTCAAACTTACCTGGATTAAACTCCATCTTCCATTTCTCCACTCATATCTGCAACTGATCTATATCCCACTGTATCCTTTGACAACTTCCAACACTATCCACAACTCCACCAATCTGTTATCATCTGCAAACTTACTAGCCCACACATCTACATTTTCATCCAAGTCATTTACATATATCACAAACAGCAGAGGTCCTGTGGAACATCACGAGTCACGGACCTCCAGCCAAAGCAACACCCTTCTACTACTACAGTCTGCCTTCTACAGGCAAGCCAATTTTGAATCCATGTGGCCATGTCACTGTTGATCCCATGCATCTTAATCTTCTGAATGAGCCTACCATGAAGGACCTTGTCGAAAGCCTTACTAAAATCCAATCAACTTTCAAAAATCCCGATAAGGATACTGGGAACTGGCAGCTCAGGGGTGGACCAGTAATTCAGAACTCCAGACTAATGCTCTGGTACATGAGCTCATATCCTACCATAAAATCTGTTGGATTTAAATTCAATTAATACATCTGGAATCTAAAGCTAGTTTCAAAAAGGATGACAGAAACTACGATCAATTATTTGAAAAGTCAATTTGGTTATACAATGCCATTTAGGGAAGGAAGTCTGTCCTGCCCTAGCCTACATGTGACTCCAAGCCTGCAGCAATGTGATTGGCTCTCAGCTACCATCTGAAGTTGCCAAGCAAACCATCTCAATTCAAGTTCAATTAGGAATGAGCGCCAAATACTGGTCTTGCCCAAATGTCCATATTCCCTTAAAGAAAGGAAGGAATGATTTTTGGAGGCATAAAGATTTGTTTTATGATCTGTGGTTTAAAACGTTGAAAAAGTATTTATGTTAAAGAAAATAATATGTAAATAATGCAAAAATGATTACTGACTAATGTCAGAAAATCAATTTTCTTAAAGGACTAAAGTTGCGCTCACTGGTGAAGTAACTAGATTTATAATGCTAAATCATTGTCTATTTTGATTACAGTTCTTGCAAAAAAAATCACGGATAACAATCTGTATATAATAATTTTACCTTCACTACAATGTGGGTGAAATATCTCTTGTTCATACCTTCAATGATGTATGTGCACTCTCTGTCAGGAGGGTACTTGTTTGGATAATTGGGAGATGTGAAGAAGCCACCATCTGGATTTTTGATCCAAGAGCCACACTGCACTGACTTTGAAGAGGTTGGTTTGTCTGTAAACAGATCAGATTCAGTGTCAAATCAGTATTTGGTAAAACCTATTTGCCTGAAACACCAAGAACTTTGTATATTTTGATCATTAACAGAAGAGGAGGTTGGTCATATATCTATCAAGGTCATGTGTAGGATGGTGCGGGGTGGACAGCAAAGACTAGCACAGGGTTAGGGTAATTTGTTTTAAAACAGCATAGTGAGTCTAGGATGGAGGAGATTGTAGGCTGACCTGCAATGAAGTAGGAGTTGAGACAAAGCAACATAAAGCAAGAAAGAAATTAATGTCTCCTTTCTGAGGAAGGGTCACCGGACCCAAAACGTTAACTCTGTTTTCTCCTCCACAGATGCTGCCAGACCTGCTGAGCTTTTCCAGCAACTTTGTTTTTGTTCCTGTTCAAATATGACTTTGGTAACAGTAATTGATCTTTAAATGCCCTCTGAAATGTCCTAGCAAGCCATTCAGTTGGTGGAAATGCCTCACCAGCACGTTCCCAAAAGCAACTGTGGAAAGGCAATAAATGCCGGCCTTGCTAGCAACACCCACACTATATGAATAAATAAATATATATAATATAAATAAATAAATCTGGGAATCAGAATATGGTGAGACTGAAAGAGGGAGCAATATTGAGCAGACACTGTGAAAACTACTGGGGTAGTAAATGTTCGGATATGAACTCATGCTGTTCCAAACATATGAGACTCAACATACTGCAACTGAGGTAGCAGATTTTATTTTCACGTAATTTGTGCATTACTTCATTCATAGTAGGTAACTCACTTCAAAATTCTTAAGGAAGAATCTTTAGCAGCTCATTTAGATGCTAAAGATCTTCCAAGGTGGCCAAGATGGGGTCTAATGATGAACTATGCAGGTTTGGCACGTGATAGTACCCTGGCAAATAGGTTGAAAACTGAGGGAGGACCAAACTCCCAGAAACTTGTTAATAGGCAGAATATTAGCACCCAGTAAAGAGAGTACATTGAAGTATGAAGGCTATCATGTACTCTGATGCCATCACTTATTAGTGACCTGCTATTTTGAATTAAGCATAGAGCAGATGTGCATTTAAAGTGCCATTGAAATGGATATTTGCCATTTCATTTTTACTTGCTGCTGGAGCTGTGTGAAAGACCACTGAAACATATTGAAAAAAAACCTTCTTGGGCACTTTGTCAAAAATGCCAACTTTCTAGCTACATATAGATCAGAAATGCACTAAGAACGAAACCTAAAACAGCAAGTATAGTGCTGCTAAATCAGAAGAGACAATCCAAAGAAGTCAGTCAAGAAAAAGGCAACACTCACTAATGGAATCTTTCAAAGGGTCTCATTGGGTGCAGCACCATTTAGAATCATAGAATCCTGACAGTGCAGGGAGAGGCCATTTGGTTCATCAAGTCGGCACCGACCCTCTGAACAGCATCCCATCCAGAACCAGCCCCTACTCTATCCCCATAACTCAACATTTAACATGGCCAATGTATTTGACCTGCACATCTTTGGACTGTGGGATGAAGCCAGAGCATCCAGCAGAAACCCACACAGATATGGGGGGAACTTTCAAGCTCCACACAGACAATCACCCAAGGCTGGAATCAAACCCATGTCCCTGGTGCTGTGATGCAGCAGTGTTAACCACTAAGCCACTATGCTGTCCAGTTGCTCCAAGGGAAATGGACAGGATGGCAAGGACGGGTGCCATTCCCCTCTGCAGGGCATCCCCTCTGGACTTCTCTACCAAGACCATCTGTGCCACATCTGAGAACCTATCTGGGACCCTGAGGGACAAATATCACTGTGCACCAGCCGTGGAACTCCACACCTTCAGTGGAAGAGGGCAGGGGAGCTGACATATACTGTTCTATGAAAACTGCTTAAATTAGCACTAGAGTGCAAAACATGCAGGTTTCTGGTTCAGCACTCCTAGCCAATTCAAAATACAATCATCAGCAATTGGGACCAAAACTATGTGCTGCATTCGGACTTTCAAATCAGCGTGTCTTAGGAGCAAAGGACTGACTTAGCAACTGCATTTGACACTTGGACAAAAATATCACTATAATAGGAAATATCCCTCTGATACCAAAAGCAATCACATGTGAACTGGTAGTGTCTGGGTGGCAACATTTCCCAACATGCATTTTGTTCTAATGAGATTGGGCATAGATCTTGCTGCAATGTTAGTAGTAGAAAATGTTTATGGAATATAACTGGTAGATAGTTAAATTTGGGAATAAATTTTGGGTAATATCAATGAAAGAAAAAATCAGAATTCAGATCAATGAACAAGTATGAAAATTGAGTTACAAAGTGACAGGCTGAAAAAATGTTATCACAAAAAGACAATAGGTGGACGGTTTTCCTCTCCTCTACCCCTAATAATTTCAATGTCTCCTCGAGCAGACAAAAAACTGCAGTGTCTGCTTTATGCAGTGACTATGCTGGACAAAGCACTTCCAAAATGCTTTAGCCATTGCAAACTATGAGTCACTTCAACGTTCGGCAGATCACTGCAGTAAACACTGAACAATAAGTGACATTATCTGCTGATTACAGTCAGATAATTGGAATGACAGGAATAAAACGTGATTATGAAAGAAAGGGCACCATTATAAATATTACCTGATGTCTTTTTTGTTGACACACAGAGTCCTAGCAGGATAAGACTTGATACAACTGCCAGAGGAGGAAAAGAAAGCATATTTATCACGGGGATTTTTTTTTTCTTTGTTTATATTAACATCGTTAAGTAGCTAGAAACAGGCATTAGGTACAAACAATTTCCGAGATAGTTGTACAATACAGCAGACAGAAGTTGATGTACTTTTACTAATGCCTTTTTAAAGATATAGTTTTAACAGTCATTATGCATTATTTATGCAAAAGTGGAGAATTGCACACCATTATATCCAGTTTCTCGGAATCGTCTCTCCAGTACTTTTTTTTTTAAATGCATACAAACCCGTCCATTTTCTCTCACATCTGCTTTTGCTAACAGTCTAGTTGCAGTCTAAGCGCAAGTTAACAATGACAATCCATTTTAAAACAAAGTTCGAGCTCATAGCTTCCTCGGGAGTTAGCCAAGAATAACAAAAAAAGGACTTACGCCAGGAGTTTCCGGGCAAATGGAATCAAACACACCTGGGCTTGTATGGTTACATTGGTTCGGCGAATACAAGGGCGACGAGGTAGTTTGGAAGTCACAGACAGCCAAAAAAAATGCTCAAGTTAAATGTTCTCTGTGAAGGCAGTTGGATTCCTCAAAGGCAACTGATAAATCAAGGGACTGTCTTAAGTCATCTGCTTTTCATCCCTCTCGCTTCCCCCCTCCTCCCAATACTGCTAGCTGCACCTCATCTATATTCAGTGCCCAGTTGGGTTTCTACACAGCCGCGCTCAACCGAGGCAAAATGTTGGCAGTCAACAGGGGTCCCCCTCAATTCGCATAGGCGGAACTTACCGTGAAGCAATCCGTGCTGATACCCATGGACCATGTCTGATTCTAATGCAAGGGGCTCCAATCCAAACCAATTCCATTGAAGCAATGCGAAGCTGACAGGCTGACGGGAGATGGATGGGATGGGATGGTTGAATGGATTCAGGAAGAAAGATGCTCACACAAGCTTATCCAAGTCCCCAGCTCCCGTCTGGAACGCTGTGTCTGGAAAGACATACATGTGTAGAGGTGTGTATATGTTTGTGGGTTTTCAAAACTCAACCCAAACTAATCCCCAGCAGTTTCGCACAGGACTCCAGGTTGATCAGAATGTCCCCATGATTCCCACACAAATGTTGCCACGATTCCCGGCGTCTTTTGATGCATCGAAGGGATTAATAGGTCCGTCATCAGTCCTTTAATCGCTCCACCTTCTCAATCTTCTGGGAGAAGCCGTACAAAAGCAGAATTACTCCCCTTTTTTTTCCAAAGCGTATTTAACACAAAATCCTTTTACGCTCACGCACACATACACAGGTGTGACCAGATGCATTTGGAAAAAGCCAGGCGTCAATTACAGGATTTTGCATCAAGTTGAAATGGATTGTGTCTGCCCACGGTACCTTCTTGACATCGTTCTTGCTCCGGCACAGGCAGCTCACTCTGCTTTTGTCGAACGTGTTTTGCATTAGATTTCGACTTCTGTCTCTCTTTTTCTGTGGCCTATCCAGGGGTCTCTCTCGCTGTCCACCAAACGCGTCGCGGTCCCTGAAATAAAAGAAAAGTTCACCCCAGTCTCAATGCAGTGGCGCCGAGAGCTGGACGAGTGTTCCGCATCATAATCCAAGAGTCCAGTTGGAAATTCAGAGCATCTCAAAAAAAGGGGGGGATTACCAAGCTACCAGGACACCAGTTAAGTTGCTGCAGTCAATATATCTGCAGCCAAGGAACATGGCGGGAACCTAAGCAACTGCAAAGGAGTGTTTTTCTCTCTCTCATCTCTCCTTTTATCAATAAATGTATGATTTCAAACGGACACTCGAACAGCCTTGTCCTCCACACAGCAACACACTAGGCAATAGTTATCCCGATATAATAGGGTTGTTTTCGTTCATTCTCCTCTCGTTTCCCGCCCCACACTCCAACCCAGGCAACCCCCCCACCCCGATCCTATTAACCCTCCTATTAACACAGCATCAAGTGGCAATGTGGGCATCTGCCAACTGCAAATGACACCTTCCAGTCACTCCTGCAGACTCCCGCAGCCGGTGAGAGAGGATGATCCACAAGCGGTGGTGCTAAAAAAAAAGTGTATGCGCTGGGAGGGGAGGGGGAAGGAGATGGAAAGACCCCCACCCTACCCCCGCCCTAACCAGTGAATCATCATCCGGGGTGCACCACCCATTCACCAGCCAACACCGCCCTCCCCCTACCTGTAAAAAAACTTCCCAGATTTGATATCTGCGGAAGCCAGTCAGTGGGCGAAGAGTGCTCTTCTGTTTCTCACACTCTGTTTCATGCCCTCTGTTTCAGCTCCTCTTTCTGTGTGGGGAACGCAGCCAAACACAACACAGTTCGCACCTAGACAGGTCTCTCTGCCCAGCAGAATGGGAATGTGTGAACTATACAGTGGAAGAGAAAACAGTTCCACTTGGCTTGTGTTGTATTTGTCTATATGCATGTTTATTTAACATATGCACACACAAGTAATTGCTTCGTATAAATGTGTACATTGCATGGTATAGCACATTGTGTATGTGGTATAATGTAAATGGATACATTAAATATACTTGCTATTTATATTATGTAGACATTTACACAATAATTAGTTATTGCATGTAATACGTGTGCTCTGTCTTGCGGCGCAGAGTTTGAAGCGCTGTTTGGTCTCGAACTGCTTTTCAGATTCTGCCTCCCAAACAGTTCATCTCTGCCTCCGCTAGCGGTCAGCCTTATTCACATTTCTACTGCGGCGAAATCAACTTCATCTCTACGAAGCGGGGTGGCGTGGTGTCAGGACCGAGGGCCGGCGAAATGACCTTCTCTAATTCCCCTCTGCTCCAACTCCTAGCCGCCGCTTTCAGTGAAGGTCGGTGGCGTGGGTTTGTGCTCCCAGCCGCAGGATGAGGCAGAAAACGCGAGTTTGCAATTTATCCTAACCCCAATACTGAGGGGCTGGCGGAATGAACTCAAATTGACCCGGAGCACCAAGAGGTCATTCACTCTGAAAATTTCCCGAGTAGACGTGGCCCTCACTGTAATTTTTCTTTGATGCAATATTTGCGAATGGACTTATTACCCATTGTACAACTGGTCAGAGCGGATCTTCTTGGCCTCCTTTTGCCTGGAAACAATTCTGTGACAAAGAGATTTGGAGGGAAGTCAACATATGTCGATCATGATCTCCACTTATCGGTATTGATCAGACGGTGTTGTGAGATAACAAGGTGTAGAGCTGGATGAACACAGCAGGCCAAGCAGCATCAGAGGAGCAGGAAGGCTGACGTTTCGGACCTAGATCCTTCTTCAGAAAATGTCCTGACGGTGCTGTGAGTTAGTTTGAGATGCCATACAACCCTAGATTGCCATTTCTTCCTGCTTCAGATCAACATTAGTGTGCCATTTCAAACTATTTTTGGATTGTCCATATCCAACACACGGCCACACCAGCCCTCAAAATGTCATGGTTCTAGCACAGCCCATTATGAGGACCACCATGTTAAGTACGGACAAACATCGTGCTGGTCTAGCAACGCTGAGGTCTCGAGTTCAAATACCCAAAGGTGCAGACATTTGAGGGTGAGTTATCACTGAAAACTTTATATTTGCCAGATCTTTGTAAAGGAATAACACAACAAAAAGACAATCCACTTTGTAATACCTCTTATGTGGCTGCCCAATGATCACTACAACAAGCGATCTAATGGGTGAGCCTAATGGTAAGGAATATGACCTGAAGGTTCATCAGGATGATCTCCAGTATGAATGAATTATCTTATGAGCAGAAGTTAAACAAGTTGGGATTCTACTTGGTGAAATTTAGAAAAATGAGAGGTGATCTTGTTGAGACCATAAGAAACAGGAACAGAAGTAGACCATTTGATTCCTGACACAACTCCACCATTCAATAGGATTGAATCAACATTCCTCATGTCTACATCCACAACATAAAGGATTCTGAGGGGGCTTGCCAGAGCAAATGCTAAAAGGATGTTTCCTCTCATGAGAGACTCTAGGTCCAGAGGGCATAGTTTCAGAATAAAAGGGCACCAGTTTGTGACTGAGATGAGGAGGAATTTCTTCTCTCAGAGTGTTGTGAGTCTTTGGAATTCTATGCCTCAGAGAACTCTGGGTTCAGAGTCAGTGTGTATGTTTAAGGCTGAGATAGAATTTTGATCATTAGGGTAATCAAGGGTTACGGGGAAAGGGCAGGAAAGTGGATATGAGGAATGTCAGATCAGGCTCAAAGGACTGAACAGCCTACTCCTATTCCAATTTCTTATGCTCTTATGGTCTGTTTCTCCACCAGCAGCAATGTAGAAGTATCACAGCATTTTCACTGCCAGCCTGGATTGGTGAAGCTGCAACAATAGTGTAGAATGCTGGTACTGTTCAGGACAGGATTAGACTCAGCCCCTCTATATGGCTGCCATATGTACAATCTACAAGAAGTTCTGAGGCAATTTGGTAATTTTATCATCCTGCCTTGAATGTCTCCCAGTGAGAAAAGGCTGAAAATCAGTGATGACATATGAAAACTCTTCCCCATGTCACACATTATCCTGACATCATTGGTCCACAACATCCTGACATCATTGCATTAAAGATCCTGGAACTTCCAATCAAACAACAATCTTGTCATCACCAAGACCACAAGTGCTGCATGGGGGCACAATAGGGCATTCAGCCCATTAAGCATTTCTCAGTATTCACTTAGGTCATGATTTATCATCTATGTTATCCCTTATATCTTTAGTTTCTAGGAATCTTTCAATTTCTTACTTGGACATGCTCAATGATTGAGCTCTGTGGGGTAGAGAATTTCAAAGATTCACCACACTCTGAGTGAAGAAATTTCTTTTCATCTTAGTCCTAAATGGCTTACCCATTATCGTGGTATTAACTATTCTGGCCCTAATTTCACCAACCATGGGAGATATCCTATGTCCACCCACCCTATCACAGTTGCAAGAATTTGAAGTGCTTCAATGAGATCATCTCTCATTCTTCTAAAATGTAATGAATATAGGCCCAGTCACCTGGATCTCTCCTCACAAGATAATCCTGCCATTCCAAGGATTGATCTGGAGAACCTCCATTTGTATCCTAACCTGAACTCTATTGAACTGTAGCTCTTAATGAAGCCCATTTATCACATTCTATGAGAAAGGAATGTTCAGTAAATATGACCTTCAAGCATCCAGAGAGACATCTAAGAATAGTGATTATGCATATTGGAGGGTCACAGTGCTCTAATACATTGCTATTTTCAACCATAGAGTCATGGAGTCATAGAGAAATACAGCACGGAAACAAACCCTTCAGTCCAACTCTTCCATGCCAACCAGATATCCTAAATAAATCTAGTCTCATTTGCCAGTATTTGGACCTTATCTCTTTAAACCCTACATATACCTTTCCAAATGCCTTTTAAATGTTGTAATTGTACCAGCCTCCACCACATCCTCTGGCAGCTCATTCCATACATGCACCAACCTCTGCATGAAAAAGTTGCCCCTTAGGTCCCTTTTAAATCTTTCCCCGCTCACCTTAAATCTATGCCTTCTAGTTTTGCACTCCCTCACTTCGGGGTAAAGACTTTGCCTATTTACCCTATCCATGCCCCTCATGATTTTATAAACCTTTATAAGGTCACTCCTCAGTCTCCAATACTCCAAGGAAAATAGCCCCAGTCTGTTCAGACTCTCCCTATAGCTCCAACCCTGGCAACATCCTTGGAAATCTTTTCTGAACCCTTCCAAGTTTCACAACACTCTTCCTATAGCAGGGAGTCAAAACAAGTGGTGAAGGGTATGTTTGGAGACAAATTTTACAAATACTTCTAAAAGTCTATTTACACAAAAAAGGCTGTAAAAGCACAGTCCTTCTCACCCAACAATTTCTGTATTTTCCTATTTAAAGAACTCAAGTAAATCTTAAGTCAACACATTTAATAGGCAATTAATGATTTAAAATTTTCTTTTCAAATAATAAAATAGAACTTATATGTAAAATCATTTCAGAAGAAATTAAATCAAATTCATATTATGTTCATTGATAAGCACTGTCATGAATGATGGAGAGTATACATTAAAGGGTAAATCAACAAATAAGGCCATGGGGTTACAAAGCAATAAAAGGACCAACTAAAGGCTCGATATCCAAATCCACATAGCATTATAAACAAAACAGATGTACTGATGATGCAAATAGAATAATTAAGTACAATCTGATAGCCATGACAGAGACATGACTGCTGGATGACATGGACTGGAACCTGAATATTGGAGGGCACATGTTATTTAGGAACAACAGGAAGCTAGAGAAAGATGAATGGTGAAGTTTTGTTAATTAATGATGTTTTAAACATAATAGTGACGACCAAAGTTCAGGACTGGATTGAGATGATAAATGATAAGGGTAAGACTTCACTTGTGAAGACAAGTCCCCTAACAGTAGGAAAATGAGAACAGGGGTAGGCCATTCAGCATATCGAGACTGCCCCACTATTCAATCCAATCATAACTGATTGAACACACCAGTCCATAACCCTGTATACCAAATTCAAATTTCACTACCTGCCATGGTGATATTCAAACCCATTTCGCCAAAACATTAGCTTGGGGACCTTGGGGTTCTGGATTACCAGTCCAGTGACGTTATCAATATGCCACCACGTCCCTCAAACCACGCAGTAGGATGGAGTATAAAGGAAGAAATATTGGGATAGTATTAGAAAGGTGCAACAATAATAATGGGGTATTTTAATCTATGTATAGCCTGGAAAAATCAGATGGACAAAAGTAGAATAAATGAAGAGTTCATGTTTCTGTGATAGATTCTTAGAATAACACCTAGAAATAACCGGAGAGCAGGGTATACCAGACTTGGTATTGTGCAACAAGA